TTGGGGGGGGGGCGGATTTATGGACCACCAGGGGGAGAACAACCTCACCATCTGACCTTTCACCTACATTGTCTTTGGCTCAAGCGTGTTGGACAATAGCGGCCAATATTGGATATCGGCGAAAAGTTGAACAGTTCCAGCAGATGTCGCTGTTTTCTCTTTTTGAATCAAATCAAATCATTTTTTTTCAGCTCTAATATATTTATATATTAGAGCGCAGGATATATTTAGATATATATTATATATTTATATATTAGAGTGCAAGATATATTTAGATATATTATATATTTATATATTAGAGTGCAGGATATATTTAGATATATATTATATATTTATATATTAGAGTGCAAGATATATTTAGATATATTATATATTTATATATTAGAGTGCAGGATATATTTAGATATATATTATATATTTATATATTAGAGTGCAAAATATTTAGATATATATTATATATTTCTATATTAGAGCGCAGGATATATTTAGATATATTATATATTTATATAATAGAGAGCAGTACATATTTAGATATATATTATATATTTATATATTAGAGAGCAGGATATATTTAGCATCAATATATTCAGTACCGTGTCAGTTACTGTTACTGCTCAGCATGAGCTGTCAGTCTGACCACACGGGTTCTCAGTGAGTCAGAGGAACGTGGCACCGTGGACAGACGGAACGGGTTCTCCGACCATAAGGACATGAGTTCAGGGACGTCAGTGTGGGAGAACTGGACAGACGGAGACGTTCACAGTCACCAACAGTGCCATGTGATGGAGTCGGGGAGGAAGTGTGATGTCATCACTGTCCGACCCTGGGCCACAGTTCTACCTTCCAGAGAGTTCTTTCTTTTTGTTTGTTTTTTTAAACAAACCTGGGAAACAATTCAGTGAATTATCCGACCCAAGAAAAATGTGTGACAGCAGCATACGGCCACCAGTGGGCGACCTCCATAGAACAATTATGAAAGTTTAAGAAATTATTATTATTAACTTTGTGGATTTTTAGGGCAATTTTCATTCAAAAAGCTTAGAAAAAATGTTTCCTATTGTCCAATGAATTGTGATCCTATTTAGCGGAAAATACAAAACAAGGAAAATTAATTAAAACCTATGAGGATTTTAACCAAAACATTTTGCCTGCCTTACACATCTCAAGGTCCTAGGTTCAAGCCCAGGAGGAACCATATACTCAGTGCCTCCAGGGGGCAGCCTGTTGCAGCTGTTGAAATCTGATTTTTCAGTGTTTTTTTAAAGAACCATGTTCTCAGAACTGATGGTTCTAGAACCGTCTAAAATCCTTTTTCCGTCTGTGTGTGCAGCCATGGGCGTGCTCATGTCCAAGAAGCAGCAGGTGGAGAAGGTGCAGAAATGCAGCGCCGTCGTCTCCGCCTTCCAGGCCGGCCTAAAAGACCGCCCCGCCACGGGCAAACCTGAAGGAGACGCCGAGGAAGGCGAGGAGGGTTCTCCCAGAACGTCCGCCGCTCCCGAGGAGAAGAGCGCGGAGGAGGCAGAGAGGGAGGAGACGGACAACGGCTCCGCCCCCTCCACCTCCAGACAGCCCTCCTTTCAAAACAGGGACGAGTGTAAGGTCAACCAGGAGGCCTGGTCCAGGCTGCGGGACGGTAAAGGGGTGGAGCCAGAGGACATGGAGAAGACACACCAACTCACACCGCCCGCTTTTGTGAGGCCTAAGAGGGAACCTGATGATGACCAACCTGTGGAGGTGGAGCTGGAGCAGAAGGAACAGGTGTTTGATTCTGACCGACCGACCGACTGAATGACTGACCGACTGACCGGCTGACTGACCTACTGATCGACCAACCAACTGCCCGACTGAATGACTGACTGACTGACTGACTGACTGACCGACTGACTGACTGACCGACTGACTGACCTACTAACCGACCAACCAACTGCCCGACTGAATGACTGACCGACTGACTGACCATCTGACTGACTGACTGACCGACTGACCGACTGAATGCCTGTCCGACTGACCGACTGACCGACTGACTGACCTACTGACCGACCAACCAACTGCCCGACTGAATGACTGACCGACTGACTGACTGACCGACTGAGCGACTGACTGACCTACTGAGCGACTGACTGAATGACTGACTGACCGACCGACTGCCCGACTGACTGACTGACCGAACGACTGACCGACCGACTGCCCGACTGACTGACCGACTGAGCGACTGACTGACCTGCTGAGCGACTGAGTGAATGACTGGCTGGCTGACGGACTGACTGACTGACCGACCAACCAACTGCCCGACTGAATTACAGACCGACCGACAGACTGCCCGACTGACCGACTGACTGACTGACCGACCGACCGACCGACCGACTGCCCGACTGACTGACCGACCGACCGACCGACCGACCGACTGCCCGACTGACTGACCGACCGACCGACTGACCGACTGCCCGACTGACTGACTGACTGACTGATTGACAGACCGACCTACCAACTGACTGCCTCTCTCTCTCTCTCTACATATATTTCTGTCTATGTATGTGTGTGTCGCCCCCCCCCCAGCCGCCCAGAGATGAGATGTGCGATGTGTGCGAGGTGTGGACGGCCGACGACCTTTACCCCTGCAGGGTCTGTACTCGGGTGTTTCACGACGGCTGCCTCAGAGAGCTGGGGTACCTGAGGGCGGAGGCCCTGCAGGAGATGAGGGACACGGCCCACACTGTGACAGGATGGAGCTGCTACTACTGTGTAAGTCCCTCTCACACACACACACACACACACACACACACACACACATGCATGTTTTGGTGCCAACATTTGTTTAGCTCAATGCTAATCAGTCCGTTTCTGGACGGCTGCCTGGAGGTTTGGCTGCTGTTTCCTGACTGACTGTTTTTTTATGGTCTGTTTTGTCATTGTACCTCGGGGATACTCTTTCACTGATCTTGGTGACTGGGATTTTTGTTTTCCTTCCACTGTTATCGTGAAAAACCTAGCACTGAACTCCACAGCTAGCATATCTAGCATATTTTTTAAAACTAGCCTCCATTAAAGCTAGCAAAAACGTTGCTAATGTATGAACAAAACGTGACCAAAAATACTTTTTTGTTTTAAATTGAACAACAACAACAGGATGTTGAGTTCAACTGTAACCACCAGGTGGCAGAACATCGGTTCTGGTGGTGCAACTCTAAAGCTAAAAGGCTTCAGATTAAAACTGTTGTTGGAAAAGTTCAACTTTACACGAGTTGAATCTCAACGTGTTCTTTACGTAACTGACGACCGAGAGGGATCGGTTCCAATCCCAGCATCCACCGAGTGTTTTCTCCGTCCGACTCTTCAGTCTGGACCAGAAACTCAGCTTTTCTTTTCTTTTCTTTTCTTTCGTGTGTTTTTTTTTTCTTGCCCTGAAACGTGGAGTCAGTTGCCAAAGTTTTGCTGGGGGAGAATTTCTCACACAGTGAGTCAAAGGGGGAAGAGCTGAAAAGGCTCCCCTGTCTTTCTCTTCCTTCCTTTCTTTGCTCGGTTCCTTTGGTTCCTTTAACGTGGGAGAAGACGCTCCAGTGAAAAACAGAGTTTTATTCAAATCCTGAAGAAACGGTTTGACTCAGTGAAGCTAAGACTTAACCTGGAAACAGCCAGATTCTGCCGGCATTTACCCCAGGAAAAGGGTTAGGATCAGGGCTGTCAAACATACGGCCCGCGGGCCAAAACTGGCCCACTAGGGAGTCCCTCCGGCCCACTTAATACATTTTGGAAGCAAAAAAAAAGTACAAACACATGTTTTTTGTAAAATTGTACTTAATTAAATATGAAGATTTTCTAATTCTCTTCTTTCCATGAAAAACACGGGCTTCTTATTATTTGTAGGGAATTATATGATGATTGGACCGGTCCCACCCACCTGGTATAGATGATTGGTCCGACCCACCTGGTATAGATGATTGGTCCGACCCACCTGGTATACATACAGACATTAAAAATGTCAAAGTTAAAGATAGTGTCAACTGGAATGTTACTGTTTTTACAGGGTTTTAGTCCCAGGTTTAATGGATTCAAACCAGCAAACCTCTGTGGTACTGGTGATTACAGTACTTTACAGTACTTTACAGTACTTTAGTAAATACTAACTGTCCACACTGATGTGGAGTTGTATATAAATAATGTAAGAATAGAATAAGTATAAAGTACAAACACAAGAAGAAATACTGCGACGGCAGAAAGTATCTGGTAGAAGCTGCCAGACAGGAAGTGATTTCCCGCCTCCAGGTGCATGATGGGAACAGCTGAGTTGAATGATAACGCTCCTGTTATGATGTTGCCGTCTCTGCTCTGCCTCTGATTGGCCGAAGACGAGTCAACATCAATGAGGAGACTGTGTTTATCCCTTCGACTTCCTGCTCCTGATCTGGAGGTGATTTTATCTCGTGACCATCGGAGAATCACCGTGGAAACGAGGCAGCCGTTGATACATTTTAATACTTTAAATCTCTGTGGTTAATGCAGTACTTCTGCAGTACCCCTTGGGGGGCGCGGGGAGGTACCACAGGGGGCACGGCAAATGGAATATGGCACACTGGACATCAGTGTACCACTGCCTCCAGTCACTAGGTGGCAGCAACTCACACAGTGGTTTATACAGAATATATATACATGTTATTTCACATAATTTATGGGGGTGTGAATCTGGGGGGGCGTGATAATTGCAGACCCCTGGGTTAATTGCAGAAGCTCGTTATAATTGGAGCTCGGTGTGTCATTAACGTCAACTGAAGTTCAGGCTAACAGTAGGTTTTCACCTGCGTGTCCTGGTCTCACCCTGGTCTGCAGGACAACCTGAACCTCCTGCTGACGGAGGAGGAGATGTACAGCCTCATGGAGACCTTCAAGCAGTGTAAGATCATCCCAGGTGAGTCCACCAACCGGGTCGGATCATCGCGACAGAAACACACCCACGTTAGCTCTGTCTGCGATCATGTTTCCTCAGGTTTGAGGAAAATGTAAGTATTTTAGCTAAATTATGCCTAGCTTGCTAACGATCAGAGCGGGTTAACATTTAAATAGTTGTGCTTAAAGTAGTTGTGCTGTTAATAGTACTAGGGATGTACAATAATATCGGTCGGCCGATATTATCGGACATATTATCTGCCGATATTAACATAATTATGTAACATATGTAATAAAAACCCAACAACACAGTTTTGGGGAATAACGGCTGCATATATCGCTATCGGTTGATATCTGTGTCAAAAACACAGTCCTTAAATCCTTTGAATTCCTATCGGCACCCTGGGAGTTTTCCCTGCGGTCTAGGCCTACGTGACTAAGAGACTATAAACAAAACTTTTTGGACATAAAATCATTGTGAATGAAGTAGATTGTGATATCGTACGACAAGTCACTGAAGGGCTGTACATCACAGCATCGGGTTCTGACGCCTTGTCCTCCTCCGTCTGTAGAGTCGTGCCTGGTGTCGGACGAGCTGCTGCAGTATCGTCACTTCGTGTCCAAGCAGCAGTTCGACAAAGACCTGACCGACGAACAGGAGGAGGAAGTCCTGGCCCAGTTCGCTGCACTGGACCCTGAGAAAAAGGGTCAGATCGAGTGGTCCGACTTCCTGTACTTTGAGTCCCTGGCCATGTTGAGGAAGTTTCGCACAGAGGTATCGCATTTCACAACGAGAAAATGATCTCTCTTTCTATTAGGTTTATTTTACACTTACTGATAAGAGTGCCAGTATTTTCTTTCGTGTACTCGCCAATACTGAGATATCCACTACGGATACTGCAGTAGATTTGGTTTCAGACAGATACAGTCTACGCTGACGGTCTCGTACCGATGACGTACCAGTGGATTAACGACTAATATGTTTTAATGTTTTTTTTTTTGCAGAACTCTCTTGTGCGTGTGTTGACTGCCAAAGAGCGAGACAAGGCTCGGTCTGTGTTTCTGGGTCTGGATCTTGATAAGGACGGGTTGATCACCAGAGCAGAGTGTCGCCAGGCTCAGCAGTCCTGGTTCCACAACCTCAACAAGGACTCGCAGTCCTGCAACGTGAGGTGAGCACGCTGAGGCACAGCTGTGTCCATTCATGACCTACAGTGAAAGTGTTTGTAGAGAACGATTCCACATCGAGACCGCACACAGAACGGACTGCACAGAGACACAGACGGACGGATGGACGGACAGAGAACTAGTGCCAGGCTGGGAAATAACATAGGAAATTGCTCCACATGGGCCTCGAACCCCTGACCCTGAGATTAAATGTCTCATTTAGAAGAAAAACAGACAGAAAAGAAAGGATCATTTATGTTGCAGAGCTTTCGTTGCTGCTGTATCTGGAAGAGAGTTTTGTTATTTTGCAGACGACATTTGACTTTACTTCCTGTAACATTGCGACTGTTACGACGAGGCTTACGATACTTCAGAACCCAGTTATTTATCTTCCTGCTACAGTTTTAGGATCAATCATTAAAATCGTGATCATAGGTGAGTGAACGGTTGATTCTGTCTGATTCAGTATGTGACGTTCTGTAACGACCAGAGAAAAAAGTGCCTTTCATCACTGTGGTGCGTGTGTGTGTGTGTTTGTTACTGCTTCTTATCTCTGTGCTGTCCAATCAATCTCTTGTGCTGTACACCTCCATCTCCCTCACCTCCTCCTCCACATGCGGCACTCCCCACAGACTCATGGGACTCTGCTCTCCTATGAATTGTGGGTGAGTGTGACTCAGCGCTGCATGGCTTGTCTTCACTTTTTCTCCTTTTGTTTTTCCCCCTCCTCACTTCTCCACATCCTTCAGTGCTGGGCTTTCAGGAGAGCGCCCTCTTCATTTGGACATCATTTATAGACTTTATTACCTTTTATTGCTGATTGTGGAGAGATCCAGAGGAGGAGAGAAGATGCAGAAATCAAAGACTGAGTTTGAATGGACATTAATGAGCATTAGCTGAGCTCTGATGTTCCAGGAGTCTCAGCCTGGCTCCTTCAAAGGGATCAGAAGAGGAGACTCGTCGTCTCCTTGAAAGGATCTTTTCATTTATGAGTGTGAGAGGCAGGAAGTAGTCAGGTCCGCCCGCTGAACGCTGCCTCATTCACTCGTGCTGATGAAAAGGAGTCGGAAATCTCTGCTCTGCTTTGATGGTTGAGTTACAGACCGGAGCCTAAAACTAAACCCTGATCTTTTACAGTGACGTGGATCTGCAGGAAGTCTGTCCTGAGCAGAAACGCCAAAGATTTGAAGTCATTGAAAAAAGAAAAACTCTGCCTGAACTCAGAGGAACTGTTTTAAAATAAAAACATTTCATAACAAACTTTCAACCAGTACAGTACTGTAGATACTATACTGTACTATATATCTACATATACTATATATGTAGATAAAGCCACGCCCCCTGAGTGATTTGGTCTCAATATTATATACAGGGATGTCCTCAACTCACATCGGAACTACGTTCCTACGCTAACGCCGTACATCGGAATGATCGAACAAGTCTTTCTTGATAAACTTATGGGACATGGTGACATAACCACGAAACATATGTTTGGTCAAGGACGTCATAAACGTACGATCCCCTGTATGTATATATGTTATTATTTTATTTTTATAATTTTACAATAACTCTGTTTTCATTTTTAATTTGATCTCTGAAGTCTGAATAGAGAATCCTGGTTTTTTCACAGCAATCAAAGACTTATTTTCGCCACAGATTAACGTCATTTAAACCCAGATTACTGCCTTCATCACAGTAATCTGAGGTTTTTTTCCCCAGAGATTTAAGTCACGTCTTCAACGACTTCTCAGAATTCAAATCTCCAACTCATTGTTGACTTGCTGACACAGCACTTTTCCATTGAAAACATGTTCACTGTTTAGTGTGAACGTTAAGGCTGTTATCTTTGCTGTGTCTGTTATTGTGTCTGTTGTCGATGTCAGTCAGTGTCGTTGTCGTTACTGTTGCACCTCATGTTAAAATGACACGACATCAACGGCGTTGTGGATTAAACAGCTGTTACGTGACACGCCTCACACGCCTCTCTCTCTGTGTTTGTTCCCGACTCAGTATAAGTCAAGTTGGTCCCATCTGTGAGAGCAGCCCAGGAAGTTCTGGAAGTGATCGGAGCAAAGCTGGGGACAACAGGTTTGTCTCTGCTGTCTTAGATTCTCACTGAGAGGCTGTGAAGTCAAATCAGGTCAAGGTCAGGTCAAGGTCAGGTCAGTCAGGTCGGCTTAGGTCAAGGTCAGGTCAAGGTCAGGTCAAATTTCACAAGCAAATGTTGCCTTGATTTTCCTAAGTGGGAAAAATTGTCACTGACCAAAAAGGAAGGTAAATCTGGTCCATATGGTATAAACATTATATTAACAAGACAAATGTTTTACAATTATTACTATAAAACACAGTGGATTATGAAGAACACCTGTTGTCTGTGAAATCACGACGTCCTGTGTTTCTCATGTTTTTTCATTTCCTCATAAATCATGAACAAATGAAAAAAAAAAAGTCATTTATTTACCAAAGGATGTGAATTTCCTCCTGTTTTACAGGCCGGTGAGCTGGGCAGACTTTTTAAGGGAGAGCGCCATCTATATTCTGGCTGCTCGGCCCAATAGCTCTGCCATGCACATCCATCTCCCTCTATAGTCCTGGACACACGGCTGCACACAGGCAGAGCGACCCAGAGTGAGAGAGTTGGAATCCTTGTACGAGCTGAAGAAGGCAGATATAACGGCGCAGGAACACGAATCACCGGTGAGAGGCGGCGGGTCAAGACGTCAGCAGAGTTTCTCCACCGCTGCTTCAACTCCAACCACATCACTGACGCAGCAGAGACAGCAGCAGTGAACAGAGATTAATCAACCCCCCCCCACACACCCCCTAGACATTTCCAGTCAAGAGAACAAACACACTCATGAACACACTGATGGTTTTCAATGCACAGAGCCGTGGTTTCAGGTCACACATGGTGTCAACAAAAACGTAATCGAGAACAACTGGTCCAATCTACACCTGACTGTTTTGGGCCTTTTATTTACCAACAATATCATTACAAGTCCAATGCAACATGATCCAGGTCTCACTTCATTTAAGATGTGATTGAATTTGATGTTTAAGAAACTCAAAATGAAACGATGATTGGCTGAATCTGCAAAGGTCAAGCAGGAAGTGACACAGTAAAATGTGAGCGATATATTGCGTTTGAGCGCTTGTTACGAGGTATCTAGGGATGTCCGATAATATCGGTCAACCAATAATATCGCCCGATATTAGCATAATTACGTAATATATGTAAGAATAATTTTTTCCTCTGATATTGAAAACCCGATGTTTTCTGAGTTTCGCCAAATGATGACTGTTATAAAAATAGCTTAATGAACCTTTAGTGAAACACAACTGCAGTAACAGGTTCTAACCTCCTGTCAGCAGGTCATACAAATCCAAACTCAATTTTATTAATTTATTATAAAAAAACATATTTTTATGACAGTCACTTGAGATGTGCCACACTACGTCAAGTCGGGTCAGCTGGTCGCCATGGTGACGCGGATCAGCTGGTCGCCACGGTGACAGCGGGTCAGCTGGTCGCCACGGTGAAACGGTGGTTGTCATTATGGTGGTGGAGGAAGTGCAGCTCAGAACCAACCAAACACCATGGTTTCCTGCTCCTGTTGCAGTGACCTTGTAATGATATTTTGAGCAGGTTGAGATTTTAACCTGACTAACTCCCAGTTTGTGTTAACGATCTGGAACGACTGCACTATGTATTAAAAACAATCGGATTTTCTACGACACTCACACAGCTACACTGCATCACAGCCGCCCTCACCCCCCTGACTCCCCCCTCCACCCCCCCAGCTGCTGCAGGTACGTTCATCTGACAGACTAATAATCTTCCCAGTGTTCATTGCTCCGGGGTCTCATCAGGTCCTAGTAATAAAAGTGTGCGCCTGTACTGGGACCGTGTTAGTCAACGTCCAATCTGTTAATCACGCCACTCGTGCCGCCGTACGCCGATTCATCACAGCTACACTTCGACAAATGAATTCTCTCCAGAGAGAAGACGGAGCCCCGCAGCTGCCGTTGTATCAGAACAGGAACGATCTGTATCTGCATTCATGTTATATCAGAATGAATCACTGTAATCCATTTAGCAGAAACACCCCATATTTATTCCTGTATCCACCGCTGTAGCCTCTGTTCCTTTACTCCCGTGTCCATCCCAGAGTCCTTGTTCTACTGAGGAAAGGGAGAACAGACGGTGACTGGTGTACTGTATATATATATACTGCCACCCATTAAAGAGTTTGTCGCTGCGATGGTTTTCTTTTTCCACTGCAGGGTTTGGCGTAGAGTCAGATCTGAAAAGTCTCTCCAGGGAGAATGAATAAAAAGGGAAACAGACGGAGGATCAGTGTGTGCAAACGTTTGCCTCTTTGTTCATACAGTCTGCAGATGTGACTGTGACCGCCAGCGGGGCTGGGGTTTTTTTTTTCTTTAAGGTGTGGTGCATTGTGGGGAGTCACGCACAGGGACCTGGAATAAAGTCACTGGGATCAGGAATACCAGGAAGGTTGAGGTCCAGGTTCTTCTCTGGTCCTGACACAGATGCTGATGTTCTCACTGGTTTATCACAGACCTGGAACTGTCTGTCTGTCTGTCTCTCTGTCTATGTGTCTGTCTGTCTGTCTCTCTGTCTGTGTGTCTGTCTCTCTGTCTCTGTCTGTCTGTCTGTCTCTGAGACTGAGGTTACTTTAGGACTAAAATAACTCACTGCTCCTCATTCTCCTAGGACAAAAAAAACAAACCTCTAAAGAGTTTTTTTTTTTCATTTGCCATTCATCAAAACCAGGTCCATATTTTATCATTTCAAAAATATTCATTTTGAAGATATGAGTGTTTGGTTAATCACACACACACACACACACAGGCATCATTCTGAAACAACTCTCTCTGACGTGAATGTGAAGAGGCAGGAAGCCACAGGAGCTCCGTGATTGGTCGATGCAGAAGAAGACGAGAGCTGAGTGTCTGTGAGGAGGAGGACCACTGGACCTTTGACCTCCTGACACTTCACATGAGAAGAACTGTCCCTCATCTCACCACAGAGGGTACAGTCTCACC